ATAGGAGGCCCAACCACTATATCGACTTATTTATCAGCAATAAAGGTTTCATTTTCTCTCTCTCTCACTCATCAGGATTATCAAGGACCACGCCGATGTAACCGGCGCACGTGTTTCTGGAGCGCAGTAGAAGATAAATTATTTAGCGAGATAAGTACGTTAAGCAGGATATACGCTGTTTTTATAGTGCTCTCAACGGGGAATCAAAAGCCCCTAACATATGGGAGTTTGAGATGAGTTTTTACGGGAGATCGCAGAGGTGCAAGAATTGGGAATCCTCATCCCTCCAACCATACAAAAGCCTCCCGATGTGAAAACAAACAGAAAATAAGAGCAACGGAGCTCACTAATGTGAAGCTTCTTAATTTCATCATCATCGTCATTATCAGTCTGTACCACCCTCACTGCACGAGGAATGCCTCTGCAAGACGATTCGCGCGAGATGCCGAATCTTGCGAGCGACAATTACAACGCCCTACAAGGGCCTCCAAACAGTTTCGAGATCTACATTAAGAATGGCACGAAGATAGAAAGAAAAGAAAGAAAGAAAGAAAGAAAGAAAGAAAGAAAGAAAGAAAGAAAGAAAGAAAGAAAGAAAGAAAGGGCCGTCGGCCGGTCTTTCACCGCGGCACGTTGCCGGCGGTTTCAAAACCGGCGCAAAGCGCGACCACCGCCCCATCCTGGCACCGACGAAGACCGGCCACGCCAGTGCACTCTCCACCATCACCACCGGTGCCCCATCCACACGAGCTGCAGCCACCACCGCACCCCAACACAACACAGCTGACCCCTGCGAGCGCAACGGGCATTCAAGGCAGGCACGCCGATGTGGCTCGGCTAAAGGCCGAAAGGACCCCTCCTAAAAACGCAGATGAGCGTGCGCACATACGACTTGAACGACCGACGACGCCCCTAGATGCGGCCCACGAACTCTTTTTCTTTTTCGTCTTGTTTTATCTCTCTTGTTGCTTGTAACTTCCTCCCTTTATCGCCTCCTCTCGGAACGTAAAAAAGAAGGCACTGCTTAGCGATGCAGTGCCCTCTCTCTTAAAACCCTCTCCCTCTAGGAATGAAATCCTCTGTAGACGTTCTCTCTACGGCACAGCAGCCGCGACCACCTTTGATGCTTACTTGCACCGTGGCCGCAGCCTCACTTCTTTCTCCTCTTTCGTACGCTTGTTATGAACTGCGCTTGCGGGACATGCTTTTGGAGAAGAGGCTTTTGCGAAGCGACGGCGGCGGATCAACCAGCCCGACCCTCCCCCGCGACGGCAAGCACATGCCCACCCGGTGGCTGCGTTCGGTCTCTGCTGAAGAAGTATAATCCTCCTGCACCGAAGAGTCACCGGAACGCCCCGAGCAGCGAAGAGGTCTTCCAAGACGAAGAAGAATAAGGACGGCCGTTGCGCGCACGTGTCCGACGTTCAGACGAATAAGAAAGCTACCACGGAACACCTACCGAAGCTACGACGCCAAAATGAAAGAGCAAGGAGGGGGGAGCTGAACGAATATGCGCGGCACGTGCGCAAGACCGACAGCGCACGCGCGCCAGTACTCCATTTTTGAGCCAACGCCCCTGCCGAGACGAGACAAGTACAGTCCGTGGGCAGACACTAGGACTAACGTGGCGGCAGCACCGTCGGTTCGCCTTCGTCTACAAGCTGTACATCTTTCCCAGTAGGCCCGTTTTCTCCTGGCGTCTTTCCTTTCTTTCTCGTCACTGAAGCCATCTCTATGGCACGAGATGACACCTTTGTGCGATCTTTTTTTCTTTCTATCCTTTCCCGTCGTCTGCTCTCAATCATGTTCCTCGTTCCCGGTGGTCCGGTAGGCCGCACACACCCGGGTGGTTCGCTCACAATCGACCCTAGACGCGAGATGAAAATAAGATCCGCATATGCGGAAAGCTGGCGTCGACTCCCGAGTTAAGAAGGAAAAAAGAAGGATTGTTGTCGAAGATTGGAGCGGAAAGATGACACTCAGGTTGGGAAAAAGACACTTCTGTTCTTGGTGTCGCGGTGTTCTGAGACAAGGAAGGACATACGGCCGGACAGTGGGGAAGGTTTGATGTAGTACGCGGAAGCGAATACAATTTCGCAAGGCTGACGTATTTTCGCGTCCCACTAGTGACAGATTGACAGGGACAAGCAAGTGAGGTTTGATAGCAGGACGCGACGCTACCTGCTAGGAAGCAGGTCCATAGCCAGAAATGTTTTTTTCGGTGGTGGGGGCACTTGCTGAATGCCTGCAAAAAACTATTTTTATTATGTTTCCTCGGTAAAACACCCCCAAACGTCTCACTTTCGGGGGAGAGGGGCAGAGCTTCTATCTCCTGGCTACGGGCCTGATTGTAAATGCGCCATTCAAGATAGTGCCACAGGGTGGACGTGGCAGTATCCAGTTAAACCCCATCGCAAATCTAGAACACCCCTCTGGTTCCGTAAATTGACAACGCAAATGGAAAGCGTAGCACTCAATTACAACCAAGGAGCGTACTTGTACAAGAGGCTGAGCGCGAGATAACTCACAAAACCAGCCGTCAAGTATGTAAACGGCGCACGCTGGCCACGTCTGAGCACAGTCTCTGTTTGCTCTTCTGAAAGCCCGTTGAGAATTATCAAACGAGCGTTACTTTAGCAGTATACCGTATTTCTGGGGCGACTCTACTTTTTATAGAAAGCAGTCCCGTAGTCAGTAACTTTTTTAGGGAGTGAGGGCACTTGCTGAATGCCTGAAAAAAAGTTTTTATTATTATTTTTCCTCGGTAAAAAACACCCATTTGTTTCAATCTAGCCCCCCCCCCCCCCTTCCTTTCCTTCCTGGCTACAAGCCTGATTCCAAGTGCACCAGATAAGATGGTGCGACGGGGTGGACGTGGTATTATCCAGTTAAACCCCATCGCGAATCTAGAACATCCGTCTGGTTCCTTTAATTGGTAACGTAAATAGAAAGCGTAGTAGCACTTGCAACGAAGAAGCATATACTTGCACAAGGGGCTGAGCGAGGGCGGAAGTACTCATAAAAAGCGGCCGTCAAGTACTCAAACGGGGTTCGTTGGACATGTCTGAGCACAGTCTCTGTTCGCTCTTCCGAAAGGCCGTTGAGAATCATCAAACGAGCGTTGTTTTAGCAGTATAGCGTATTGCTGGGACTCCAAGAGCAAACAAAGTGTACACTTACAAGGGCAAGGGGACGATATTTGCAATACTTCGTTTTTGGTACGAGCTTTTACACGTGTTAGGGGATGTTTTATGTCACGACTCATCTGCAACAAGTCATTAACCGCAAATTGCGGCGAATTCAGAAACTAATAATCATTTCGGGGGCTTATCGCCTCAAATCCACGATATAATTGCAAGGGACGCCGTAGGGGAGCAACCCCGGATATTTCAGTCATCTGGCGTTCTTTAACGTCATCATAAATCAAAGTTCGCGGGCCTCGAGCACCTTCATCGAACCCGCAACCTTCGGGTCAGATGTTGAGCCCCACACAACAAGAACACCTGGCAGGTGAGTTCAGAAAGTAACAATCGTTAACGAGAGACCACTTGCGTATAGCTCATCCGCATGACTGCAGTTTGGCGACAACGCGAACGTTGAGGCTCGTTTCCGGAGTCTCGCCACGACGCGATTTCACGAGAATTTTTCGACTACCCAACTATCCCCGCGCGCGGTAACTTACGAAGGTTACGGTGGAAAGGAAATTCGAACCAGCTGCGTATACTTACGGGACTCGGAAGTAACCACGCAGTAAAGCGCGCTTACGCAGCTTTCAGTCACCTCCCGCAATAGCCGTGGGTACGTATCAGCACGCCGAACAGCTCCCCCCCCCCTTCCTGCATTAAAACGTCATACCGCCGAATTCCCACGGTTCCCGCAACATCTTTTGCAACCTCTAGATTTGTTTCATCGTGTTTCTTGGGGGGTGACAAACAACATCGAGCAATTATTAAAACTCGCCAACCATGGGAAAGAAGAAATGCTTCCTTGAGCATTGGTTCTCAAGCAGGCAATCGGAACGGGCTTGGCATCGAGCGTGGGACAGGACGCCATCGAAAGCACAAACGTACCAGCCGAGCAGACGACGCAAAGTGCGTGCCAGGGAAGACTGAATAAGATTTGATTCCTAGAAATCGCAATCTTTATAGAATGAGATTATGACAAGGATGATATATGGGCAGCGAATAGCCGACAGTAGCCATCATGTGGCCAACATATGACAGCACTAACAAACATTGGCCAATAGCTAACCACCACCAGCCTGTAGTGTCAGTCCACCCTGTTTAGACAACAATAGCCCGCATACGGCCACAATAAGAGACATCTGTTAGCCAGCCATTAAGTGGGGTTTTCATGTTATGGACAGTGTCGAAATTATGCCATATTATAGAATTTAGTAACGGTGGCATTTTAAGCGAATCAGAGAGGCCGTAGCAGTCCCATGGACCAAGCAGATTTGACCAATGAAGAAATTTCGCAATTATCGGTATTGGCCATCATTTATTTGGCCATAATTAGCCAACAGCAGCCAACGTATAGTCAGAATAAGCCAACATTTATGAAGAGCCAGCATGTTAGCACCTGCTCAGTCAAGCAACATTGGTAAAACGTTGACTCATATAGATGATTTTACCCCAGACATATTGGGCGTCGCCATCTTGGGTTCATATGACGACGTTTTATTGTTTTTGTATATTGAGATCTGAATTATTAAGCCTATGGAACATCGCACGCAGAAACTCAAGTGTTTTCGTTTTTATGCACCTACCGTAGCACAGTTCGTTAAGTTAATTGCTAAAGGCGCAGAACATAAAGGTTCGCAGCCCAACATGGCGGCACTGAAACCCCAACGTAAAATAATCTACAGGACATTAGCCTTCATTACTCAACATAAGGAAACTACAGTCAAGTCCATCCAGTGCAGGAATTATGCGAGTGAATACGGTACGGCAGTGCACGAATTCTCGCGCCTAAAAGCAGCGTGTGGCGTGCCCACTCACCGGCCAGTTCGTCGTCCAGGTCCCGCTGTGACATCACCGGCGTGAGATGGTACCAGAGCCGGAAGGTGTCCCTGCTCAGCAGGTGATTGGTCTCGGGCGTGGCTTCGAGAAAGAGCGCCACCTGGCCCTTGTAAGAGGTGAAGCAGCGACGCACTTCGCCGTCGTCTGCTACGCGCGGCGCCGATCGGCCCTGCGGGAGTGGGGACGCCATTTTAGGGCAACGCCTCGTGCATCACGACGCTCGACTATTCAGCTCTGCGCTGTCGAAGCTGGCGTTTAATGCACTTTATAACATTCCTGTCGGAGCTGTGTCAAGTCGCTTTTCGACACGGCTCGGCGTTAGCAAAGAACCCGTGAATGCACTTAGCTAAGTTGGTAAATACACCAAGCTGGGATATATATTCGTATTGAATGAAGGCTTCCATGTTACTACTAGCTAATGCGTACACGGACACAACAGGCAGGACAACAGGCAGAGTTTAATTGAAGTCTAGCGCGGTTGTCCTGTCTCTTTCTTTGGTGTTCTCATGCGTGTTCGCAAGTAATATGAATCCATTTAGCCAAGAACAGACGACTACACAAGACTAGTATAGTGTTTTTGTTATTTCGGCAGTGCGTCGACTGCTCGGCGAAGAGCCCTCGACCATCAGGCAATATTCCTGGATCGCGTATGTCCTATCACCCAAAAAAAAGGCTTTTAGAAATTAATACTAGAATGCCCCTGTCTGCCTTGTAAGGGCCAGTGCCCTGCAAGAAATGGTGTAAGCGCGTCCAACGGTCTCATGCAAAACGCGCCCAATGGTGAACGCTGTATCTACGCGTCGCGCAAAAAGAACGCTAATGCATAATTCGAGCCATTGACTATGTCTGAGAGACCATATCAAGTAATCAAGTGAGTGCGTCGGCGTCAGCACGATTGGCACAAAAATCATGTCATATGAGGTCTTCACGACGTCACGTGTCACCAAAATTTGGGACGTCAAGAAAGAAAGAATTATTTATTTAGCGCCCACTTTAATTCATTTCATTTTAAGTCATAATACTTACACTCCAGTTAAAGACAACAGTTAATGTATCCCACGCTTTACTGGGCCAACCGAATCACCTGTTGCATTCATTCGCTTGCACTGAACAAAGAGTCGGGAAAAAAATTCAGCTTTCGTTTATACTTCTGAATGGACGTTCGCCATGACGAACACTCAGGTGCCATTGAAACTCAGGTAAACGTTTTCGCATGGTGTACACTAAACACCACTGACCTTGTGTATAGGAATGAGTTTGCGGTGGCCCTCCAGGTGGACCGCGGCGCCCGTCGAGTTGGCGTCGATTTTGACGCAGGCCCGGAAGTCCCTTGCGCCCCCGTTTCCGGTTCCGCCGAGGCGGAGCAGGACGCGCAGGGCTCCCCGCGGGTACTTCCAGGTGACGCGACCCTGGTCGCAGCGCAGGTACACGGGCACGACGGACCGGGACTTGAGCCAGCGCTGCGACGACGACCTCGACGACGAGGCGTCCGAGGACCCAAGACCGCTGGAAAAAGGAACCAAAGAGGCAATAAAAAATTAGGTCAGGATTCGCAGCAGTGGGGAATATTTCTAATGTAAACCACACGGCTTCACGCATGCGATGAATGCCAACGGGGGACAACATCGCTTTCCATCATGGCCCTGCTAGGCCATTGGGCCATGGGCTAAACTCTACAGTAATCATTGAAGAGCGAGCGAGCGAGTCTGTCCGCCTGCGTCTGTCTCAGTGGGACGCAGATGAGCCAATGAGACGCAGATGAGCCAATGGAACGCAGAGACGCATTACAAGCGTCCAGCTTCCAAAAGAGGCACAGCCTCTTCATTATCAATAAGTTCATTAGCCTCGCAGACCTATAAAACTAATTTGTTGCGTATTCTCGTACAGGGGAACACTACTAATAGCAGTATCACTACGCTTCATCTTTCGTTCTCTCTCTTCCTCTTTATTTACTTCTCCAAAACTACTGCACCTGTCGTCACAATCGAAATCTTATACCTCACTGAGCCAGCAGGCACAACTTTCGAGCTAGTTATGCAGACAGAAGCATACCACTTTTCGAGCTCACTTTACGCCAGAACCACCTCTTTCAACACCTCGCGAAACTATGCTGGCTTCGAAAGTTATTATCATCCTGTCATTGCGTAAGAGCAGTGCAAAGAGATATTCCTGTTTAGCAAATTCGCTCTATTCACACATGCTCATGTTTTAAGTTCACCGAATGATTGAACAATCCCCTGTTATTGAACGTAACAGCCTATTCCCACGCAACCTAGAGTGCGTGGGATTCTATAGTTATACGCATTCTCCCAAACTAACAATCACAACGAACCGATAAGAGGGAGGAGACAGGATCTATACGTTCCACACCGTCATCTCACTTTCCAAGAAAGCCGTTCATAGAAGGCTGCTTACGGACGTGCAAAACTCGCCAACACGGTCATGTCGGCGCCCGCACGCTAGCGTAGTTATAAACGAGTTATAGTGAAAAAAAAGAAAAAAAAAGGGGGGGGGGGGAGTTGGCTTAGGCGTGACACATTCAACAACCCGTTATTTAGGCGTCGAGGAAGAAACGCGACCTTGCCTCAAGACCTGCCTCGCCAATTCTCGCCCGCGCCAAGCTCTGGCGCGACTAAGCACGCACACACGGCCAGTATGAAGTGAGCCAATCTAACGCCAAGGCCGCAAATTCGCAACGGCCCATAGCACGATGAGCCCGACCTCTGATCAAGCCAACAACAGCGCACTGAGCGCTACCGCGAGGAATTGGAAAAAAAAAGCAAACGAGCACGCGTGCGACGCCGGCGCGAACGCTAATTGAACGCTTGAGCGACGAATTTACCCGCAAGTGTCCCCCCAAATATACACAGAAAAGACACGCAGAGTCGCGTGGAGGCTCCTTGTGTAAAACGGAATACACCCCGAACGGGTTTTATCGCGCCTACATGCAAGACATTCTCTCGCACACGCGCATACAATCGCCTCCTCCTTCTCTATCCGGCATCCAGGACTGCCCGCTACGCCTAATTGCCATCGTGGAGGCATCAAAAATGGCGGCGGCGACGCGCGTCTGCCACGCGCGGAGCCTGATTGGCCCGTTGCGAAAAGAAAACTGCCGCCAACGTCGTCTGCTACACTCTCGTCTGCTAGTCGCCTCGGTGTCGTCTGCGAAGAACGAGCAAGAAAAGCTACATGGAGGCTGCTGCGACGGCCACTATTTTCACGGAGGACCGGTTCCGGCGGGATGAAAAATGCGTTGTTTGTTTGTCGCTGCTCTTGATACGTTCTTCTGACCGGTCGTGTCGCCCTTTTAATGGCGGTCGTGTCCCCACGAATTGAGCGGGAGGGGGGGGGGGGGGTGACTGTGTATACGCAAGTGGTCGTCTGCTCCTTTGTCGGCCAGTGGCGTCTGCTCTTGTCTCCACTATGAAAGCATAAGAAAAAAAATGGCGTCATCGCAGGCACCATGTCGGTCGCGTGTCGGGTAGAGCCGCCCCGCCACGACGGTTCAGTGCCTGCCGCCCCTCAAGCCTTCCTCGTACACAGGCTTCGTCGACGACGTTTCGGATTGAAATACGTGCGGCGAAAGAGAAAGTGGCGCTCTTCGGTAACGCCAGGATGCACACCTGCCGTCTATTAGTGTCAGCGCAGTCGCCATGGGGGGTTAGCTGCGTGAAGCCCGATTGCCTGCTGCTGCCGGCTGGAGCATAGCGCACGTGATTGAAACAGAGGAAAAATAAAACGTGAGCGCCATTCGCTCAGCGATCGTCTGCCAGCGACCTTGCGTCGAGCAGACGATATCGTCAAACGAGCGTTGACGGCGTTTGACGAATATGGCGCCTACTGTCCAGATTAAGCGATGCAGAAGTAAGAACGTGATTGCTGAGTTGCCATGCTAACGTCTGTACAAACACGCTTTTGTGGGTTTTCACATAATCAAGTTTTGTGGCCTGTGGGCGCCACTGCCGGCAACAGCAGTCTGCTGTTGTGCGCGTTTAAATCACTGTCGAAATATATGTGCGCTAGTTGGATCTATTCAGGACGTTCTGAGGAGTACCGTAACGAAATTTACTTGCATTCTTCGACAGATGTCTCCCATACAAATTCTGCTCGATAAACAATCAAAATATTTTCTCCCATTGCTATACAGCGTAGCAGGGACCCGTATATTACATGACGCCCCACCGTATATTCAGTACACAGACACTTTATCCTGCACTGTTACGACCGGAAGCTCGCTATCGGCAGTGCCCTATCTGCCTTTGAGAAGGGCGCTATCGTGACAGATATGGCGCAGCTGCGCGCCTCAAGAGGCCGCGGAAGACATCAGGGATACCAAGGCCCAGCGCTTTATGCTTGCTTGCTTTCGCATTTTATGTCGTCTGCTCCGGGATTCCGGAGGCTCTACCCATATCTTATCAGCCGATGCTTTAACATAACTGCTCTTTTTTGTCCATGTTGTATTTGCGTACACGTTTGCTCGTTCATTGACGTGTTATAGTTTCATAATAATACAATGTGGCACTATTGAGTCTGCAGGGGCTGCAAGGCACATTGACGCTTAAGCCTGCGAAGCCTGCGAAGAATTATGGGTAATATACACAGATTTACCCAAGATTCATTTGTTCGGCTGTTACTTCGACGCTTCAGGACGAAGTTAGCGAAAGTTAAGCACATTCATTTCCTCACCTTAATCGTTGTAGGCTCACTAATCAACATCAGCTCCTTAGGTTCATAACGAGCCGTAGTCTCATAAAAAACAATGTCCAGGACACAATAAACAAAGCCAAAAGAGCGTTTGAAGACGCAAGCGCGAAGACTATATGCGCAAATCAATGTTATGGTATTCATGTGCTACCCACTTTTCCTTTACCATGGTGGTGGAACAATCGAAGCCCCAAAGCATTGTGGTAAACTCTATATGGTACAGGGTAGCCAGGCGGTCTGAGAACTGGCTAACCTCCCTGTCCTTCCTCATTTATTCCTCCTCCTCCTCCTCCTCCTCCTCCTCCTCCTCCTCTATATGGCAGTCGTAAAACGTGCAGCAGCGCAACTGCAAGTTCCTTCGCAATCACGCTAGTGTCAAAAGGCGGAGGCTTCTTGCCTACGCCGGGGTTATAACAATATGGGGGCGTTCTGAGACGCAAGGCTTGCAGGTGTGCGTTCCGCAGCGTCCGCAAATCCGTGAGCTGCGTTCGTCGACGATTACCACGCATGAACGTGCACGCCAAACGTTTGGCTGTTGTCAAATTGCAAGCTTGAAAAACCTTCCTTCTTTGTCCGTTGTGGCTCAGCCACTCTCTGCTGAGAAGCAGGAGACAACCTGTGAATACAAGTGCTGATATGGAGGCTACAAGGTGCCCTGCTTTGAAGGCGCGTTTCTGCTTCACATTAAAATACAAACCCTCGTCAGTCGTGACCGGATGCAATGAGCTGATTATCGTATTCAATTTGAAACATTGTGTGAAGGTACAGGAACAGAAGTACACATAGCGCTGTCTTTGGCGTCTGTTATGCATGACAATTTTACATGCTGTCGTGGCTCCATAACTGCATTCAAAGGTCACTGCAGCAGTAGGTTAATCTTATTCACGTCAGCAAGACGATTTCAAGTCGGATTACGTCGGTGAACATCTGTTTTTCACTGCTGGTCACAAAAACCAACCGAGCGGAAACTCAAACTTTCAAGGCTGAATAAAAGCAAAATGTTAGCCATGATTTCATTTTTCTTACGACCAGCGCCCACTCTCGAGGAATACTGTTATTATTATGAGCAGTACGAATTCTCGATGAGCTTGCACCTGGAGTCGGCTCTACTGGCGCGAGGACTCGGACCGTTCCACGCAGCAATTACCTTACCGCGGTCACGCACGCGAGACGAAAGAGAAGAAATCGCTCAACGCATGACGTGGCACATACCCCCCCTCCCCCCACCCCGTAAGAAGACGCACACCTGTGTTCGTTTTGTATACACATATTTTCACTTTTCAAAACTCCCCCACCCTCCTCTAGTGTTCACTCGGCCATGACGGGAATAAAAAAGACGGAATTATTTTACCGTGACAAGTTCCAGCATGTCCCTCACTGTACGGTCCTTCTCCGGTTTGTTTATAATGTACTAGATAGAGAGATAAGTGAACGGCCTCACGCAACTGCAGAGGTCGTCTTTAGCACAGAGCAGACGACACACAAGTCGCATCGTCTGGTACAGAAAAGCAATGACTCGAAGGGGAGGGGTGGGGTTTTTGTGTTCGTGAATAGCATGCGTGGAATGATCTTGAAGATTATAAATGCGCACCGAAATGATAACAGGGATGGATTCTATACGGATGAGTGCACGCCGCAACCAATTGCTGGACGAATGACCTTTCTTCTTGTGTCTATACAAGGCGAACGCGCAGTCATTGCAGCTAGGGGGAAGTCGGCGTTCAGGGCAGAACATACGGGGTCATTTACATAATGAACGTCCCTGCTCAAAGTGAGCAACTGTGGTGCAGCCATTATTT